TGGGGATTCGAACGCACGACCCGCAGATTGCGAGTCGAGCGTCCTAACCACCTGGCCATGCCGGGCCAGTAATAATATGTTATGTTACAAATAAATTGTGTGAAAGTCAGGTTTTTTGTGTTATTTATCATAGCATCCACCTCCCATATTTTTTTAAGTTCATAACCCAAATACACGACGGGTACCTCAGCTTGTAAAGGAAGTAATTAACTATATAAAACATAAATACGCAGAAAATCATGAATAGTTTGCCGTTTTGCCTGAAATAAACGAAACAATGAAAAGTAAGTAAGAAGTAAAGTGTGAAATATGAGGCTATTTTATATTCGTTGTTGTAGATCTGAGTTAATTTAGCAAAAATTGAATAGAATATTCTTAAAAATTTTCAACACTAAATCATTTTTGTGGAACTTTGAATATTTATCAACTTGTTGATTAAGATATAAGTGATTTGATTGCGAAGAGAAATTTCATTATAAAGCTTGAAGTACCGAAAGACTTTTTTATCTAGTGAGCGAAAATACGAAAAAAAGATGACGAATTAATGGTACGATAATATTCCAGAAGATGTCACTACAAGCAATTTCAGATATAGAAACCTCCCCTATCCGAGAACAAGGAATGCTTAAAAAGTTTTCTCAACAATCAGAAGATAACCAAAATACAACAACCTTTTCATGGAAAACTACACGTCATAGTTTATTATGGGATGTAATAAGAGACAGGAATTGAAATTTGAATTAACAGCTAATCCTTTCTTTTTGAAAAACAATATTGTCAATCAATACGTAAGAAAAAGTAAGTACATGTGGACCTTTAAACCTTCCGTATTGTTAGTAGACTTATTTTACTGTAACACTGTATGTCTGCTATGATTTTACTGTATCTGATATGGATATGGACTGTTGTTGGGAGTGACACGCTTCTTTTCATCGTTTCAAATTATAAAAATAACATTTTGTAGCCACGTGAAATAAAATAGAAGTATCAACACAGTTTCAAACAGTAATTAGTTTAGTTTAAATATTTTATAATGCCTACTCCGTGTATGACGTGTTGGTTTAATCAAATTATACAAGTTCTCGGTTTGAGTTCAGAGTAAAATTATATTTGTTAAATCATATTTTCTTGAGTGCCAGACATCATTATTCATTGCCGAGTAAGTCACGACTCAGATGAGAAGTAACAGATAATAAAACACGTTTTATGTTTTCAGTTATTAGATTACCAGTATAACTTAGTAATCTAGTTGAAACACTTGAATATATAAACGTATTGGATTTTAACCTTATTTCTAGCTTCACTTCTTAATTAACATTTACATGAACTTATAACAAACATTGAGTGTCGGGAGATATATACGATCTATATAACTATAACTACTTCTACATTTAATTGAGGCATTTCATTTATAAATCTATTTGATCCAAACTTTATTTTTAATTTACAAGTAAAAGTTGCAAGTAGAAATATGAAAACAGAACGTAGTAGAGAAACACACAATTTTCTTAGAAAATTAATACACATAAATACACTGTTTGGTTAATACATGTTATAATACTATTTTCCTTTTTTTATGGAAGGAATTTACCACCTGCAGTTATAAAAATAGTTAAAATCAAATTTATATCCAATAGGAAAGTACATTTCACACTATAGATTTGATACAATGTTTTTGTTTGTTCTAGAAACAACAGATGGCAGCATTAGCGTTAGTGTTTAAGGACTTTGGGCAAATCTGTAGAAGTGATATTTGTACTGTGTGAATTGATACAAAGTTTCTATGGATGATGTTTTAAGTTTCGATAATTTAAAGATAACTGTTGCCAAAGTTCCTGTTTCTCTTGCAACAACTGTTTACTAGTTATACATTCATTAAAGTGTATGATCCGGTTATGTTTGGATAATTATGCACGATAAAACAAACCTTATTGTTTGCGACTCAAACCTTCGTTATTAGCTCCATAAGTAATTCGGTTTTTTTCTTTAAGTAAAATGTTGTAGATATCTTCATATCTTACTTTATTTCAGAACTTTATGTTTCAGTATATATAAAGTCATCTTAGTGAGGCAGATGAAATAATATAAACCGAGTATTTCCCCGAGATTCTTTTCCACGCTTCATGATCTACTTAATTATATTCATAATATCAAAAACAATCAAGTCTGTTGAACATTTGTAATCCTAAACTTTTTAATTTTATTTTTTAAAGATGTTATTATCATTCGAATAAGCCTAGCTTTGGTTGTTTTATTTTATCGCACGATCTAATTAACTGATTTCTAATAAGGAAAAGTGTTAACATCACGTGACTATTGTTCAACATTATCAGATTAACTTCGTTCTGTACATACAAGTATAAATATCAGGTCTCTCGTGTAGAAACATAGACTAAGGACAACCGAAGAAAGATGAAGGTAAGTATTGTACTTTATAGTAGTTTTATATTTCCTTTCTGTCGTGTGAGGGTCGTAGTTTAGTGTTGAGATTGTGAATCGGAGGGTTTATGGTTCGCGTTCCGTTGACTGTAGGTCCTTTATAAGAGTGTTTGTTGTTGTCGCTAAAGTTGAAATGGTAGCTAGTCGTAACTCATCATCTTTAATTCGTAGGATATTATAATCAAATAGGACATTGGACTGTCTCTTTTATAACGCACCCTAGGATCCACAGTCAGTTATAAGAGTGACAGTCAAATTTCACTTTTTGATCAGGCAAGAGAAGCCCAAGGGTTGGCTAGCTGGCTACTTACTATTTTATCAGTTCAAAATTAGGGACCACTAAGCGCAGACAGCTTTTGTGTAGCTATGGTAAGAAATTTCCGAAACAAACGACCAGTCCGTCACCAGTCACGTAATGACATTGGATAGCTTTTAAATTCATGTTTAGAATCGTCCACTTATAATTTATTGTATGTACTGTGTCGTGTTTTACTAAATAAGGAATTGCTAATTTTTCAGCTTAAAATACACTTCTTGAGTGTTCTTTATAATCAGCAGATAATTATTTTTCTCACTAAATATGTCAGATTGTGTGAAATGCGTTTGCAAAAGTCTGAAATGGTGTAAGTTATCATAAATATATATTCGTTTATTTGGGCAGAAACCTTGAATCAGTAGGTTACATTACATGTATTTTATTTAACTCGTATTGTATAACTATTTTATCATCGATTTGTACCGACTTATCCTGATATAGAGGGTATAAATATATATATATATATATACATATAACACAATATATAATAACATTACTTGAAACACCGTGAATAAGTTAACTTACTAGTGTACTAAGAGTTTGGGAAATGTTTATAAAATATTATGACGGCATATTTAAAAACATAAGTATGGTGATCTCGTTCCTTATAAACTACATATTAATAGTTTAGTTTTTAAATAAAATATTTGTTTTTCTCTAACCCCCAGACCCTTGCCGTGTTTTGTGTTACCGTCCTTCTGTACTCGGTAGTGACTGGTGAGGAGGAAGTCAAATCTTCTGAAAGTCAGGAGCTCCAAGCTGAAGCCACAGGATATGGTGGGGGATATAGTTATGGCCAAGGAGGACTTGGAGGGGGTGTAGGAGGACTTGGCGGTGACATAGGAGGACTTCGCGGTGGCGTAGGAGGACTAGGAGGTGGCGTGGGAGGAATTGGAGGTGGCGTAGGAGGACTTGGAGGTGGCGTAGGAGTTATTGGAGGTGGCGTAGGAGGAATTGGAGGTGGCATAGGAGGAATTGGAGGTGGCGTAGGAGGACTTGGAGGTGGTTTTCGAGGTTTTACAACCTTGACGGTCCTTGCTATTCCCATCTATCTTGTGCCAGTAGACAGAATAGGTGGTGGAGTATTTAGTGGAGGACGATATGGAGTTGGAGCAGGAGCTGGTGTATATGGTACTGGAGGATTGGGAGGAGGTGTTGGAGGAGGAATTAGAGGAAGAGGTATAGGGGGACGTTTCAGAAAAGGAGGAATTTGGTGGGACTAAAGGTTTGTTTTAATTTTATCCTGATCTAAGATATTCAATCGTAATTACTATTTAATTTTCACATTATCATGTAGCGATTATTTACCTTCAGTACATATATTTGTCTCTACATGCTCTGTTTACTAATGTTGAATGTTAAAGACCGTTAAAATGTAATTTTATTTTGAAATCCTAGAATCAAGTTTTATAATCCAAACATAACCATTTTATTGTTATTGCTGTGATAAAATTTTCAAATAATTATGAAGTTTTTCTGGAATCTTTTTTATCAGATATTAAACTTAGTTTATTTAATTAACTGTAGTGTTTACAGATGTTTTTGTATTTAATCTATGACATATTTAGTGCTAAATTTTGGAGACAATATTTTGAAGTTTGTGCTAAGTTCTGATTTTAACACAGAGTCCAAAAGTTAATCTTTAAACCCAAATAGAAAGAAGGAGAAGAAACATTTTTAAGTTATGATTTTCTACTTTCCAGCTTTTTTCTTTTAATAAAGGTCCAAGGAACGTGAGAAGCCCACACCTGTGACGTCACCACAGTAGTAAGCTATACTCCAGTAACACCTGTCTATCCAGTAAGCTGATAACCAGAACTACAGTTAAATCGTATGTTAAACCCTTGTCATCCCGTGTACGGCCACGGATCTCTCGTCCCTTTCCATAATAATCCTTCAAAACCAAACAGGATTTTAGGAACTGATAAGGGCAGTGATTTCGTTGTGCAATAGTGAAGTCAGTTTAATTTCAGCAAATTATGTGTGATACATAAATATAAGAAAACTTCAGAAAATTAAATGTTGATCTGTACAAGTCAGAGATTCTACTTATTAGAGAAACTTAACAAAACTTTCATGGAGACAAGTCGCTATTCACAGAAGAGTTCTGTACCAATAATCTCTTACTGATACAGGTTGTTTATTTATGATAGATTTATTACAACACGGGCAAAGCAATCAATCCATAAAAAATACTTGTATCAAAATGCAGAAAAAGTACATCAAGTAACAGGCATAAAAAACAATTTATCAATATCGTCAACTTCAAAACCAGGGTGGATAGCTGGCTGTAGTAGGTGAGGTTAGTGTGGAAAGTGTAAGCCAGTCGCTTCACTTCAGTTTCTCACCCCTCCTCCTTCAGTAGGTACTTGTGCGATTGATATTCGTATGGAGTTGGAGAGTATGCCCGCCATGTTCTCCTATGGATATGGACGTATATTCATAAGTTGCGTCATGACGACATTTATAAGAGGATATCAACTGATATTTTTAGGGCGTTCTGACGACACAGGTCCTATTAAGTTGGATATAAGAACCAACGTGAAAACAACAAGAGGGAATCTTCAATAGCCGTGTCACTTGAAATTATTTTAGGCAGGATTAGAGTAAATTAATCTATGAGACATTTGTTTTTCCTTTTTATTAGCTATCCTTTTGTGCGCCAGCAATGCCAAGCGTGGAACTCGCGTATACCCGATTCAATTTTATTACTTACCAGAATCTCAAACAGTCTACCTTCAAATTGAAATTCTTTTAGACAGGATTAGAGTAAATTAATCTATGAGACCTTGGGCGTGTTCAAATACATCGATCGAAAGGGTTCGATCTCCTGAGTCCAAAACTGTAATTAGATCTGAAATCGGTCAAGAGATGACGGAGCTATGAACTAAAAGTTTGTATTTGAAAGGAAACAAACAAAATTGAAGAGGAAATCCACAATAGCCGCGGCTGTAATTACATCTCAAATCGGTCAATAGAGGGAGCTATAAGTTACAACTCAGAGCCATTCTATGAGCCGCTGTGTCGCGGCTAAACACAAAACAAAATCAGACCCGTTCTATCAGCCGCTATGCCACGGCTTAAAATTGATGAACGAAATTCTTGAGTCAGGAAGCACCAAAACTTGAACTTGCTAGCCTTGTGAACCTGATATCCATTAGCTTTCCTTTTTCCTTAAACAGTCTGAAGACATTAGCTGATTTTTTACTTGATAAATCTACACTTTACAGATGTGTTGACTTGAAATGTTACTTTAGGGCACAGGTTGGTCCTATGGTAGAACTCGGAATATCGGACCTGGCGAGTCGGGCTCAATGTATCCTATACAACAAATATGGGTTCAACTTTAAGTTGTAGGTGCGTTCTAAGAGGGACAGTAGATGCCGAGAGTTATGGTTTAGCAGCCTGGCTGACTTCTCTCTGACCAGTAGTTCAAAGTTAGGGACGACAACAGATAGTTTTAGTAGCTATGACATGAGGTTATGCTTTTGTAAACTTGTAGTTGAGTTCTGCTAAAGCATGAAGTATTAGAATTGTTTTAAACGTTTCTATTATGTCGAGGTTATATCGTATTTAAATAAATAAACACAGAATATTAATGTTTTAAAGATCCAGATCTCCAGCTCACATCTCTTCAACGTAATATGAAAGTGAGGATAGTGAATAATTCGTTTTGGGTGATATCTCTCTCATTTGCAACAAAAACCGTTTAAAGCTATTTAATTTTAGAGATTTAACGAATAGAAGCGGTATTTGTTAATTGTAAAATACTGAACACTCTTTAAAACCTCTTTTCCTCAAGGACCTGAGTTAAATATATAAATTTATGCATAAAATATAGCCATAAGAGTAAACCTCACAGCGAATGAAAACGCTATTCCTAAACACCATTGCTACAAGTCTTATTAAAAATGAAGCAATGTTTGTTTAGTTGAACAGAGTTTTAACCCTTATATTTAGCGGATAAAGTGAAGAATACAGTTGTTATGTAATGTTCGTGTCATACGTTCTTGTAAAAGTACAATGGCTATTAAACATAGCTGTCACTAGTTTTGATCTTATAAGACGAGAGGGAAGGCAGCTAATCAACAGCACCGACCGCCAACTCTTGGTCTACTCAAATTGAACAGCAGGACTGGACTGTCACTCTTATAATGCACCCGTGGCCCCAAATTGATTAACACGTTTATTACGATTCACAGCTCGAGCATCCCAACCGCTAGGCCACGTCCAGTTCACCAAATCTTATTCTAGATTGAAATCATAGTAATGAAGTCAGACATTTTGCCCACCTCCTACAAACATTTTGGTCCCAAATACTGCCCTTGTCCACATTTTACAGAAGATCACAAAACTGTCTGTTTTTCCACTTTAGCTAGTGTGTGAACTTTTGCAAAAACATAATAATAATGATACAGAAAGTTTTCGTTTTAATTTGTATATCTTAGAAGAGTTTCAAATATTGGAACGTTTCACTGACCACTGGTGTACAACAGCCAGCCTAAACCAAACTACATGTGGACAGTTGCTGTAAAAACTATTTGTGGCAACATATAAACTACTCAAAAATACCTTATGTGTGAAAAAAGGTGCGGCCAAAATAGGATTCAGCGTGAGACTTAAAGGAATGAAATCCAAATTAGCGGTCAAACTAGTAAATATTCATTCATTAGCAGGCCAGGCCGCGTTGTTTGTTCAACTTGGGGCATGATAGTGGATAAAACAAAATACACGGCCTAGATAACTAATGAATGAATATTTGCTGTAAAATTATTATCAGTGCTATAAGTGGAGCTACCAGTGTGTCCTTCATATCCACTCTGTTACACCTTATAGATTGATATACGTGATATAACAATACGAAATATACAATGTAAAAAAAAGTAGTTAACCATATAAACAGCAATACGCAGTTAACCATGTATAGTTTGTCGTTCTGTCTAACATAAACGGAACAACAGACAGAAAGTAAGAAGTAAAGTATCAAATCTATAGTGTGAAATGTATTTTCCTATTGGATATAAATTTGATTTTAACTATTTTTATAACTGCAGGTGGTAAATTCCTTCCATAAAAAAAGGAAAATAGTATTATAACATGTAATAACCAAATAGTGTATTTATGTGTATTAATTTTCTAAGAAAATTGTGTGTGTTTCTCTACCACGTTCTGTTTTCATATTTCTACTTACAACTTTTACTTGTAAATTAAAAATAAAGTTTGGATCAAATAGATTTATAAATGAAATGCTTCAATTAAATGTAGAAGTAGTTATAGTTATATAGATCGTATATATCTCCCGACACTTTTAAATCAATGTTTGTTATAAGTTCATGTAAATGTTAATTAAGAAGTGAAGCTAGAAATAAGGTTAAAATCCAATACTTTTATATATTCAAGTGTTTCAATTAGATTATTAAGTTATACTGGTAATCTAATAACTGAAAACATAAAACGTGTTTTATTATCTGTTACTTCTCATCTGAGTCGTGACTTACTCGGCAACAAATAATGATATCTGGCACTCAAGAAAATATGATTTAACAAATATAATTTCATTATGAACTCAAACCGAGAACTTGTACAATTTGATTAAACCAACACGTCGTACACGGAGTAGGCATTATAAAATGTTTAAACTAAACTAATTACTGTTTGAAACTGTGTTGATACTTCTATTTTATTTCACGTGGCTACAAAATGTTATTTTTATAATTTGAAACGATGAAAAGAAGCGTGTCACTCCCAACAACAGTCCATATCCATATCAGATACAGTAAAATCATAGCAGACATACAGTGTTACAGTAAAATAAGTCTACTAACAATACGGAAGGTTTAAAGGTCCACATGTACTTACTTTTTCTTACGTATTGATTGACAATATTGTTTTTCAAAAAGAAAGGATTAGCTGTTAATTCAAATTTAAATTCACTACTAACGGCATTCCTGTCTAGTATTACATCCCATAATAAACTATGACGTGTAATTTTCCATGAAAAGGTTGTTGTATTTTGGTTATCTTCTGATTGTTGAGAAAACTTCTTAAGCATTCCTTGTTCTCGGATAGGGGAGGTTTCTATATCTGAAATTGCTTGTAGTGACATCTTTTGGAATATTATCGTACCATTAATTTTCGTACTTTTATTCATGAGATAAAAATTGTTTTCGGTACATCAAGCTTCATAATGAAACTTCTCCCTGCAATCAAATCTATTACAATTTTACAAAGTGAGTCAATAAATATTCAATGTTTGTAGTTCCGCAAAGATTATTTAGTGTTGAAAATGTTTTAGAACAACGAATATAAAATAGCCTCAAATTTCACAAATGTTTTTGTTTGTTCTATAAACAACAGATGGCAGCATTAGCGTTAGTGTTTAAGGACTTTGAGGAAATCTGTAGAAGTGATATTTGTACTGTGTGAATTGATACAAAGTTTCTATGGTTGATATTTTAAGTTTCGAGAATTTAAAGATAACGGTTGTTAAAGTTATGTGTGGGAATCTATTTCTGTTTCTTGTGCATCAGCTGTTTGCTAGTTATATATTCATTAATGTGTATGATCCGGTTATGTTTGGATAATTATGCAAAATATAACAAACGTCATTTTTACGACTCAAAACTTCGCTATTACTTTGGTAAATAAATTTGTTCTTTTTATTTACATTTGTGGTAATGAGACGTGAGCCATGAATCCACCGTTGTATTTATTGTCACTAATCTCAATAATGTTATTTTCAAGGTTTTTATGTATATGTGGGCTAAGATTCTTTTACAGTAAGTGTATGGGACTTACTGGCGATAAATTTGGACAATAAATGTACAGCACACAATCCACTTGTTTTGAAATGTTATAATCAAAAGTCAAACGTATGAACAAAAATTCTTTACACTGTAGGTTATCACAGTTTTATCTAAAACTCTAAATACTTTTCTTTTCTTGTCAAAAATCCACACAGACTGGTTCAATTAGTTTAGAATCCAATTGAAAAGACGAACTGTTTTTCTCTACTTTGTTTCTTACTGTACAATTTGTGATAAATTCACTTATGTTACTCCGTAAGTTACCACAGTTGTATCTTGAACTTTTAATAGTTGTCTCCTTTTCGTCAGTGTTCACACAGACGGGTTCAATTACTTTAGAACACCCTTTGACAAGACAGATTCTTCTTCTTATCACTATTAAACTCACTTTAAAATATCACCCGTTATGGCTAATTACTCACACGCCGGTAAACTTCGTGTATTCTAATTCTTTTTCTGACTGAACTTTTCCTTACATTTCACTTAACTTGCTCTCGCTCGGTCACCTATATATATATATACCTTGCCCAACTGAGACCTGGAATTTTTTTACAAACTAGAAGACGCTATGAGGTAACAATACTCACTTGGCGAGAAAAATATCGAAGATTCGAGTAATGTGACGCCAACAATATTACTAAAGCCTAGAAGAACAATTAACTGCATACACAACGTACAGAGTTGAGTAACGAAATTTGTCACAACTAATGCTTTTAGGACAATCCATCTTCAACAATAACTAAATATTAAGTCACAAAATAAACCATATAATAACGCTTACACTAAACATTCTTATATATTCAACAGGTATTTTGTTACAAGAAAAAGAAAAGATGCTTACGTAAACCTTGCTCATTTAAAAATTTAAAGAGATTTCGAAATATTTTACAATCATTTTACACCTTGTTTAAACTGAGACGTATGTTTTCAAGAAAAACCACGAACTGGTTCACCACGAACTGGTTCACCCAGCACTTCTACTCGTCTACATAAAGCAATATTTCTCTTGTTGAAATAGTATTGGTATGGATTTTCATAGCAGATATAGATTTTCTACCTAAATGAATGAATACACTATTATCAAATCAAGAATAATTTGATGTTCCTATTCAGTATTTAAAACTTATTCTATCAATTATACCAATAATCGTATTTCACTGCAAGATCAAAAGATATTCTACAGTTTAATTTAAATTAAGTTAAAAATAATATTATTTTTTTACTTTTGATTTGATTTTCTCCCGAATGTAGAAATGTTAATATCATTTAGATGTTGTTTTTGTTGTGAGACAAATACAAAGACAGGGACGTTTTTTAGAAAATAATTAAAATAATTCGTTTTTTAACTGTCCTTTTGAAATGTTCCAAAGGAAACTACTGTAATCTCTAGGGCTTATAAAACTAAAATTCGAGGTCCGATCCCCGATGTGGCACAGCGTAGATAGCCCATTGTTTAACCTTCCTATAATAAACACAAACAAACAATATTTTGCCACGCGCTTGTTGGCGGGAGTTGTGTCTTGAAAAAGTCACCATTTTCAGACCTCTCAACAACAAGTTTTCTGGCAAGTTTGTGTTGTCTAATCTTTCTCATTAACCACCACAAAATAAAACAAAAATGCTGAGAATATGTTTAGAAATAAATATATAAAGGAAACTTTGTATGTATAAAAAGAAAGTAAAAATTATATATTGTATTCTAAAGTTCTCAATACCGACACTTTCCTTATGTTAAGAGAAAACATGTAAGTACTTTGGGAAATGATACACAGTTTGTATGGTTGATATTTTAAGTTTCGAGAATTTAAAGATAACGGTTGTTAAAGTTATGTGTGGGATTCTATTCCTGTTT